AAGACAAACTGAACGAGTTCAACCACCACATTCTGAAAGAAGACATCGCCGTGCAAGAACGGAAGATAACACTATTAATGTGTTGGCTTATGTCCATGGAAATCCCCAAATAAGTGTTAGGAAATTAGTTAGAGACCTGCGATTTTAATATGGAACCACATAAAAAATTCTTAAAGACCATCAATTGCATGCCCATCATATAATATTAAAACAAACTCTTACAGAAAACGATTTTGTTCAACGGTTAAATTGCTGCTATTGGCTTAATAATGGAAAAGTTAATGTATACAACTTGAATTACTGGTCTGATACTAATCCGCACTAGATGCGTGCGGTAGATAATCAACATTGGAATTTGAATGTCTGGTGTAGTGTTATCAATGGAACAATTATAGGACCACATATTTTTGAAGGCAATTTAAATAGCGAAATGTATTTACATTTTTTGGAATTTATATTGCCAGAGTTGTTGGAAAACGTTCCTTTGGAGATAAGGAGGCAAATGTGGCTACATCACGACGGTTATCATTTTTCACATAATGTACAAAGTTTCCTAGATGCACACTTTCCTAACCGCTGAATTGGTGAATTGGTAGATGCAGCTTATTCCACTGGCCCTCTAAAAGTCCCGATTTAAAGTGTATGGATTTCTATTTTTGGGGTGGAATTAAACTTATAGTATATCAAACAAGACTAACTACGAGAGAAAATGTGATACAGCGAATTCGAAACGCTGTAAACAGTTTACCTAAAGCGGAAAATGAGGCAGCTGTTTTTTCTACGCGAAGACGTTTAAATCGTTGTATTTATAATGATGGACGACATTTCGAACATTTATAAATTACTTTCTTTTTTGACTTGTACACATATGTATGTACCTATGTATGTAATTTAAATATCATAATTTTATTTCTTTTATTGGGTTGTGCTGATCTGTTTTGTTTTTAACCACTGTTCATTAAAATTTCAAAAACCCTTCAATTTGGCTTTGATCTTTAATTGCTAATCTTGTGAACTAAGGTTTCCGTAGTAATAACGCATTTTTAAAGTATACAATTGCTAGAAAATATTTAAAAGAACTACTTTAATAAAATTCTATTATTTTTGCCATAGCTTCAAAACGTAAAAAGGCATTTTTAGTTTGTGAAATAATTTCCTTAAGAAGAAATAATACCACATCAGACACTTACATCCCAACGATTTTGATTATCTACCTTATGTGGGGCATAGCATGTCTCGTTATGGAAACAATCATCTTTATAAATACTTTGGAATTAATAAAATATTTAACATAGTAATTCAATCAATAAAAATTCAAAATAAAGCAAGTACTTTTTTAAAAACAAGCTTGGTATAGTTTTACAATTTAATTTTGGCTTGGACTATGTCAATTTATTTAGAGAACTAAATACAGGAGGATGTTGTGGCACAACTTTACTATTTTAGCAGTAACTTGAAAACGAAGAAAGATATCGACCTCCAGTTTGTGTATTTCTTTACCTTAATAAATGGTCTATCGAGCCATGAAAAAAATCTATATCGTTATATTTAATTTTTTTAGTAAACGGTGACAATTACAAAACTTTTCTGATTAGCATCGTCTACCGTTGCGCAGGAAAATAATATTTTTATTCCCATACGATAAAAATAAATTTTATTAATAATTCTTTAAAATGAGTCGTCGTTTCTTGAAATCGATTAAGGTATTTAGAGATTATGACAATTTCAAAATTTCAAAATGGCGTCCTTTATACTGGCGTTGTTATGGTAATAACAAAAAAAAAAGTTTAAACTAAACTTATGAAAATTATAACACTGTAGGTATTCTAAAATTTTTATAGCATGTTTATTAATTAATATTCAAAACTTATGAAGGGTATAACAGTATATCTAAAAATTGTATTTTCAACTTAGGTTATATAAGCGAAATTTTTTTTACCCCATAATCTTACACGTCTTGTTTCCTATATACAGCCGCTCGATACCGTTAATGGATCACCCTGTAATATAAATACATATACACATTGCAAACACGCGGCTTTTATATTGTCTGAAGTTTTCGTTTATTCTTTATTTATTAGGCATTTTGATACTTTTTAAAAATTAATGAAATGGTGGAAAAATCAGTTACTGGTTATTTTTAAGAAAATAGTACCTAAGATACAGTGTCAAAGTTTTATCCTTTTTTTTACATTTTCTAATAATATTTAACTAAATAGAAATTTAGGGATTCTTGGATTTTTTGAGGTGACAAATTCAAAGTCATTCATAGTTTTGATCTTACATCATTCTTGTTTTCATGTTTTTACAACTATGAACATGTATTGAAAATAGTATAGCCTAATCCACACGTTGGCCTGGCAATAATCAAGTCAATACATACAGCTACCTAAAAATTATTATGGATCAAAATTCCTCCTTAAAAAATTCTGCTTGAAACATTATATGCTTCACTGTTGGATTTCTTGCGGCAGCTGTGTTTGAGATACTTTTCAAAATGCGAAAGAACACTCTTTTGTTTATGACAAAATACTCTGCAAATATTGCTTTAATTGTTCTTCAACGCAATCAGTTAAACATCTTACATAATTAAAGTAAAGCATGTAGGTTATTTTATTAAGACTATTAACTTGGAAACAAATGAATGTCGCAATTTCCGGATTTTTTAAAATAATTTTTACATACGGTGTTTGGTGCGTTTCTCTCACCCTGCATAATAAAATGAAAACATAAGTAACAAATTATGTTCTGTAAACTTGAAACTTCCGAACTTTTTTACTGGAAATTTAAGCTGAAGGTAATTGATAATAAAATATTATAATGAACCTTAATTTTCTCAATTAAATTAGCGTCATAGTGAGATGAATTCTAATGGTTTCTCGATAACGCTAACTTGATTAATTAAATTCGCATTAAGTATGGCCTGGTGTTTTTAATTAATTTTGTTTGCATTCCAGGTTCTTAAGAGATTAGCAGTTGTTTAACTTTTTTAAAAGCAAATTAAGGTTATCAATGAAGATGGAATAAATTAGATGGTAGCAGAAAAATACCTATTGAGTTTAAGGTTCAAATTGCTTGTTATTTTAATTATAAACCGTTTCTCGAACATATTCTGCCAATTTTTTTATGAATTATTTAGGTACACCTAATTTTTTTCGAAATTTTCACATTTTCCTTATAATCGTGTTTCTAGAAAAAATGTCATGATTCTCTTTTTAAGTTAAAAAAGTGATAACTGCTTAATTTTGCAAATAAAATAGAATAAATATATACATTTTTGTGACATTTTATTATTTAATTAATTCATTTATTTCCGAATTTAGTAGATTTTTACCTATAAATAAATCAATATTTGAAATTTTGACTCGTGTTTCTCGAAAACGAATATTTAGTTCTATACAGAATTTATTTGTTTTGATTATCCGAATTCAAAATTTAAGTTTGGTCGATTAATCCTGAATGACTACACAGCCACACAAAAAAAAGTTGTCTGTACTTTTCATCCGACATATGTTATCTGAAGTATTTTTGCCTCCTGATCACGAATCCGGTGTCAGAATTGAGCTATCACATCACAGGAATTTCCTAACCTCAAAAAACAGGGCAAAAATAGCAAAAATTAACGAAAAAGTGCTAGGAAAAACGTAAACATTTTTTTTCTATATTCAAATGTTCATTTATATGGTTAAGACCCCGCCGAACGTGAATTCGTTTGTTCGTCATAACGTACTAGTGACTTATGACTTATAACTCACTAGTGACTTATAGGCCACATTATTCCTTTAAAACCAAAGAAATTATAGTATCATTATACAAGTGTTGGATAAAAAATATATATATTTTTTGTTTTATATACACTTGCATTGACTTTTCACATTGCATAAAATAGTCTACAGCTACTACAATAAATATAAATTTTCCCCACCAATGAGACCTCAAAAAAAACGGTTCAATTAAGGTCAAATATCACGAATTTTCAAAAAATAACAAATTCGCGCCAAATTTGGTATACAGGGGTTTTCGGGGTCGGTGAAGGTCTCCTGAATAAAAAAATACAGGGATTTAAGTCAGGTGAACGTGGTGGCAATGCATTAGAACATCCTGTGATTATTTAAATGTTGTCTTATATGTATTGCGACTGAATTGCGGTGATGCTCCGTTATGCTTAAAATACATGTCATTACGTAGTGTAACTGGTAGATCGTCTAATAATTCGGGCAAAGTATTTTGCAGGACATTCAAATAACTGTTGCCATCGAGACTATTTAATAATCTAATGGGACCGATAAGAAAATTGTTGAGAAAACCAATTCACGCGTTTGTATTAAATTCACTCTAATGCTACGTGGATATTTTCATCTGCGTAAACCTGCTAAAAATTTGTGGAAGTTCATATCTCTAGCTCTGTATTGGCGAATAATCATCGAGAATTGAAGACGATCAAGAGATAGAAATTGTTGAACTGGGTGAACACGAAACGTATGAATTAGTTTGGAGTGTACTCTATTCACTGTATTTTCGGAAACTACAGTCTATCTCAGTATTAATCTGGCACTGGCTTCTGGGTTCTTTTCCACCATTTCCAGAATGTCTTCTTCCACAATGAGTGTTCCAGTTTGACGAGGAGATCCGGCATTACCTCTGTTAATTTTAATCTGACCAATTTCTCGAAGACGGTTTCCAATATTTCTGAGAGTTTGACGACTTGGGATGGGATGATTCGGATATTTTTCATGATACACGCGTATCAAAAACCTAGAACTAATATCACATCGGTTTGTTCATAAAAGTTATCTCTATTGTTCATCTTATAATAATTAAAATCAACTAATTTATTAACGATAATTCAGATAATTGGACAATTCTTGAAAATAATGAGAACTGTAACCAATGGTCGTCTACTATGTTTTTAATAAAAGAAAAATGTTTTTGCTACTTTGAACCACATTGTTCAGTATAATCTTTACATGAGCACTATATGCATTAATTTTATTTTTCAGTTAAGTTTCGAATCGTTCTCGGTCGGAACGTTCGAATCGTTCACCTCCGGTGGATGTCCGGATGGTTTCATATCGATAAGGGAATCAAATCGACCGAGCTCTGGCGGCAAATGGTGCGGAAGTGCTTGGGGTTATACGGTCTATTACAGCGAGACATCGAGTTTGAATCTAACACTATCTCTGGATAGGTTGCCTCAACAGGTACGTTGCATTGTAAGCATAAGGGTAGATGTAGATTGAAATTCCCCATTGCTTTTATTGGCCGCTTGATTTTTCAACTGATACCGGCTAAGGGAACTTGAATAGTTGCTATTAATGGACTGTAATAAACTGTAGTCAATTATTTAAAAATGTACAAATGTCTATGTCTGGTGTGTTTGAATTATATCTACTCTAACTCTATTATTAGTATTTGTACTTTTACTTAACTTAAAAGTAATATGCGAATACAAATTAATTCAAATTTATTTCAAAATTTTTGTTAATGACTGCTATTCAACATTCATCATTTTGAAGGTCATAGCGTAATTAACCACGATAGATGAACCGATCTATTTCTGCATTAATAAATATAAAGGGTGTCCCAAAATTTACGCAAGAAGTAATTTTGATAGAAAACAGGTTTTTAATTAAAAATTGTAAATTTTTATTGATTCATAAGGGTTATGCATGGAACAGCATATCGGGTGAATGACCTCCGCGTCTTTGCTGGCACATATGCACTCTTTTGTATAAATTTTCCATGACCATTTTGCATAAATGAGGCTGAATTTCGTTGATACAGCGCTCAATTTCCTCTTTCAAGGCGTGATCGTGGGCTTGTTGGCATAAACCTTAGATTTCAAAAAACCCCAAAGAAACAGTCATTAAATCGCATAATCTGGGCGGCCAATTCCGATCACGAAAACGGGAAATTACACCACCAGAAAATGACTCATGCAGTACCTAATTGAACTGTTTCTTAGGCCGTACGGCATTTGACACCGTCTTGTTGAAACTACGTGTCATCTACATCCATACCTTGGCACAAATTGGCAATTTAGGCACAAAAAATTGGATTATCTGTCGCGATAACGAGCACCATTAACTGTTATTGCCTGATCAGCCACATTTTCCAAGAAGAATAGTCCAATGATGCCTCCAGCCCAAAATCCACACCAAAGAGTAAATAAATCCATCCACGTTGTGGATGCATTTATTTCTCAACAATCGCTCGTGGATTTTCTGAACATCAAATGCGACGATTTTGTCGATTAATGAAGCCATCAAGATGAAAATGGGTCTCATCGCTGAAGATGATTTTATTCGAAAAATTAGTATCGACTTTTTGGTGTTCCATAATCCATTCAACGAACTCTCTTGGCTCTGCGTGGTCAAGAGGCTTCGGTTCTTGAGTCAATAGAACTTTGTAAGCATGAAGATGCACATCTTTCGTGAGAATATGCTGTGATCACAGTATCTAATTGATGTTCCTGGACTCTCAGTAACAGTTTAACAAACTACTTCAAATTCTTTTGTGTTGAACGACTTATTGATGGACGGCCAGATGGTTTTTGATTACTAATTGATCCAGTTTTTCTGAATTTTTCAATCGCTTTACAATTGTATTCTGATTATATTTTGTACGATTGCGAACTGTAACGGCCAAATGTTAATTATCTTTAAAATATCTCTTTCTCAACAATGAAAACGCGTCGTGTGGTGCTCCATTAATAACCCCGAACTGTTGCACTGTCTTTTGGGACACCCGAAAAAAATTTATACACGATGTTCGTTAGTACTATTTACGAAAATATTCACAGATTTAAGATCACATATTAACAATATTTTTTCAAAAGTCTAAGACCATCTAAAAAAATGTTTTGTTGCAGATAAATTGTTCTTGAAAATGCTGCCGCTTAATTATTCTAGAACTTTTGAATGTAGTTTATAATATGTGACTAAATATGATATTAGATAATTTGGCAATAGTTTTTTTTCCGAATTTTGTAAATTAACACCAAACGGACTTTTCAATTTGCGTCTAAATGGGAAACCTCTGTAATAATTTTACCATTTAACTAAAATAACACTTATAGATTTATTTTATCACCTCTGGAACTCTACGCTGTCTCTTTTACATAATATTTAGAGTAATATACAGTAATTAAAGTGGGGGTAGGTTATTGTCTTATAAATTAAATATTTGCCGTCTTAAATTAATAATTTTTTACACAAATATTCGGTATGATTACTAAATGATAACATCCAAATCTACATCTAAATATTGTTTACAATTTTGTTTTGTACTAAGTACCATATACAGGGTGTGGCGTGTATAATCTATAAAAAATAAACTACAGCTTCCTAACTATATTGTCTTATACGAAAAAGTTCTATTTTTGCGTTTTTTTTTTGTAAATTAAAGTTCAATTATGGATCAAAATATTTTCTCTGGACCGGTTCTGTCCGTGTGCAGTAGACCAGCCGCGTAAACAAATCGTCGTTGAAAGACAGAAATATACTTCTCAATATTTGGGTAATTTTTCAATGCAAAAGTACAAAAAAAACTAATATTTTCTTATTATAATAATAGTAATTACTATCTTAAATGCATTGTTGTTACTGCAAGAGTTCGCAAACAAAATCACATCCGTAAGCATCTACTGCATGCACTAAACAAACAAAAATATGGAACAAAATGAAATAAATCTTAACATTTCTAGAGAAAATGTTGAAATTGATCCCCATTAGTACGGATATAGACATGGCACCGACTCACACAATTTTGGCGAATATTTTCCCAAATTCCAGGTATTCCCCTAATTGTGTCAGCAGCTTCAAGCATACGGTTTCGCAATTTTTTCACCGTAGCAATTGAAGTATTGTAAACCAATGACTTCAAGTAACTCCAAAGATAAAAGTCCATTGGAGTTAGATCGGATGACCGAGGTGGCCACGCCACAGGACTAAAACGTCCAATCCATCGCTGAGGAAACATTTCATTTAAAAGTGTACTTCTCGTCGAGTGCTGTGTGGAGGAGCCCCATATTGAAGATAAAACATGCATGCCCGAACTTGTAACGCCGCATCGTCCAATAATTCAGGCAACCGGTTCTCCAAAAGGTCAGCGTATGTTGGTCCATTTAGTCGTTCTTCAAAGAAATAAGGACCCACAAGTACATCGCCTATTATGCCAGCCCAAACATTTACCGGGAACCGATGTTGAAAATGAGTTTCTGTAATAGCGTTAGGATTTTTATCGGCCCACATGTGCATATTATGGAAATTCACTTTATCACGGTAAATATCGCCTCATCTGTTACACAAACATAAGCAGGAAAGTCTACTTGATTGGCACATTGCCGTAAAAACCATCTGCAAAAACGCATTCGTTGATCGCATTCTGGGGGTAAAATATGTTGAACTGGTTGCAGATGATAGGGGTGCAATAGCTGGCGCCTTAAGATGCGATGTGCGTACAGCAAGTAGAAATACTTGCTGTGCGAGTCGTCGAGTACTAATTGTGGGGTCTTCGTCAAGATTTCCCATCATTGCATCCCAACATTAAGGTTCACTTGCTGATCACGTCCTTCTCCTCGAGGATTAACACTTCCCGTATCTCGCAGTCGCTGAACGCACTGTGGGATTGTATTTGCACATGGGGGGTAACGTTGTGCCCATCGTTCCTGGTACAACCCAATCGCCGCGAGCGCATTTTCTCCGGCTGCACCATACACCATATCGAGACGTTCGGAAATAGTAAATGCATTATTTTCTCGGTTCATTGTAAAACTACTTTGTGTACAAACTAAAAAATTAAGCAAAGTAAGAAATAAGATGTAATCGGCACGCTATTCTATTTTTTACTTCGTTATAAAAATTACTGTCACTATCGTGGAATTACAAAATAAAAACTTTTGTCTGGAATCTTTCACTTTTTAACATTGATGGGTCAATGGACGATAGTTAATATTTAATAATTAAGTGAATAATGAATTCAATACAAATACAAAATCAGTTGACTGTACAAATTTTTTGACAATGTAACCTAACCTTCTTTTAGTAAATTATAAGGTTGAATAAAAACATTTCCAAAGTTTTTAATAAATAACACAGGGTCGGCCTTCAATTTGAATAAATTGAATTGAATAAATGAACTTTAATTTACAAAAAAAAACGCGAAGTTAGAACTTTTTCGTATAAGAGTTTTCTATTACAAGTATCATCAGAAAGCTGTAATTTAATTTTTATATATTACACACGCCACACCCTGTATACGTTTAGATATTAGAATTTAAAACTTATTAATTGCATATTAATTTAAATTTTTTACTTACTTTTGCTAGAAAATAAACTAATAACGATAAAAAAATGATATTTTAAAAATTGATTTTCTGTTGCGTGTTAAAAGGAAGTTACCTTATTTTATCTTCTGTACTTTACCCTATTATCTTTTTCTCTCGAACCATTCTCATTTTTATTGGGGACATTTTAAAGTGTAGACTCATTTATTTTGTTTCCCTTGCATCATCCCTTGAGAACAGGCTTTCCTTGTGTCTTACATTTGAATTATGTACAGCTATTTAAGTACATAATTCAAGTCGTCAGAGACACGCAATGAACAATAAACTTATTTAGAAATATTGGACATCGTGGTAGAAAATAAATAAAATCTCAATGGAAAATAAAGTATTGTTAACAAGGACAATTTTTACTAATAACGCTATCAAATATTTATGTTAAATTATTTACAAGTATTACTTACAGGTATAATATGCAAAATATTATAAAATGATAGGAATCTTAATACTTTCTGCAGAAAATGCTGTTTCCATAATAAAATCTATAATAATGTTACAATCACATGTTTTCTGTCATTTATAACTTTCCTTATATGCCGTACGTGATATTTATTCAGTTCAGTGAGTATTTATTCATAGGGACATAATTTGCTCAGTGGCTTATCAATTTTTTTCTAATTGAATTCACTTACCGTTCTGAAGAAGATAAAATTGATTTAAAAATGGTTTTGTGCAAATTGTTCACTATAATAAGTGTTTTATGGTTTTCCGTTTATAACTAAGGTTTCTTTTAATGAGATGTTGAATAAGTTCTCGCTATATTTTTCGTAAAAATTAATGCTTTATTTAAATAAATAGTAAAACACATGTTACTGAATGTATTATCCATCGTTAGTCACTACTTTTTCTCATCTCTCTGGCAGCATTTTAATTCTACGTCTGAAAAATGACACGTTCTTTGAGGCTATCCAATAGTGGACCCCTTTTTTGGCATCTTCTTAAGCGTCGTTTCACACTTGCCGGACCGTGTGAAAGCGCCAATAAAAACCTACGCACTACTACCACTTCGGTCGCCAGTTAGCCGGTACACAGCAGTCGGGCTGGCAGTGGTGGCGACCGGCTACAATAAAAAAATTAATAAATAAATAAAATTTCCCGCAAATTCGGACAACAAGGAAACATAGTAGTTCGGTGAAATGACACACTGAATTACAAGCTTGCTTCTAGTACTTCTTTATAGGTGTGTTACCATCTTAAAATTCACGCCTGTAGTTCAGGTAACGCCATCTGATGGAAAATATAGAGAAATTATTCAATGTCCCATTATTTCAGTTTCCTTAATTTTAATTTATTTTTATTGTAATAAAAGCTCTGTCAATGAACAGAATGTGACATTTACGAAAAAAATATAGAAATTATCAAATTTGTTTAAAATATTGATATAAGAAAAAGTTACACAAGTTCCTACTTGTAGGGGTGCTTAATTCTACCCCCTGCAATTGAAGAGGAATTTTACGAAATTATCCCTTACGGTAGTAGAAGAAGTGTACGTAATGTTCATTATTATAACTTACTTCGTATTTAAGAAAAAAAAATAAAATGAAATTTTTCTCTTCCTGTGTGAAACGTCACCGCGGAAAAATTTTATTTTGCACAAAAAAATCCCCCTTAAGTGTCGACAAAAAAGCACCTCTTTAATTATTTCGCACTTATTTATTTGATACTACATTTGTTTCTGTCATATTTTTTTTGTTAGTATTATTTTAAAAAAATGTAGATGTTTCGAACAGCGTGTCTACCGACAAACAAAATACTATTTTAGGTATTCTTAATAGTCCAATTAAATGGACCTTTAAATCGCAATTTGGTCAACTTGCCTGATTTTTTTTCTATGCCATTCGATTGATTATTATTTAAAATAATGAAACGCTGCATTCGAAATTTTCTTTTACGATAAAGATAAAAAATCACGTTCGTTTTGTGAAATTGTTATAACTTTTTTATTAAAAATTAAAAAATATTACTATTTCTCTGAAAAGATAGTTTACAGAAGCAGAAAAGTATAAAATTTATTCATTTTTCTGCTTGTTATGATTCTTTAAATTTCTGAAATCATCCCTCAACTTCTAGTCTCCTTAACTCTGTTAATTTTAATAGTACAAGAAAATGTTAAGACCATTTTTATGCGCTACAACTTTTATAAGAAACTTTTTTTTCTAGCTCTTACCCCTTTTGAGTTATCTTGAAAATCCCCGTTATTTTATCTTTTTTCAAGCCTGGCCGGGGATTTAAAAAAAAATAACTGTCATTTATTATTATATACCTCAAACTAACTTATATACAAAATTCAGGCAAGTTGACCAAAATTGCGATTTAAAGGCCCATTTAATTGGACTACATAAAGGGAATTCATTTTTCAAGAAATCAAAATTGTGCTGAGGCAATTTAATCTATATCCGATAATTTTCACTTAAAGAAGCTGTCCCTGAAGTATGCTTATTCGTTTCCGGACACAATATACATATACAATCATAAAAAAATAATAACACAGGCATACAAAAACCAGTCAAAACCCAAGAGAAGCAACACATCATTTCCGAATTCTATGTGAGAAACACGATCAAAACAGATTTCTTCCTAAATTTTGTCCAAATATATCATCTTCTTAGTAGGTATTTTGAAGCGCTGAACATGATGTCATTAGTAAAATTTACCCATGACCTCGAAATTCCTCAGAAAATCCACGATTTGGGTGAAAACTGGCCAAATATGGGTCAAAACTGTTTTTTTCCAAAATGTTTTCCAAATATGTCATATTCGTAGTATTTTGAGGTGCTGAGCACGATGCCATTAAACAATCCACTATTGGAACAATTTTAAGCAAATTATTATCATCTGCGAAACCATTCACTAACCAGCGGCAAAATTGTAAACGTGCGTTGGGATCTAAATTTTTAAATTCTTGAGCAGGAGTTAAATGAAATGGCGAAGAAGTCTTGTGAACATTAGTTTTACATACATATATTTAATTGTCACGACAATAATGACATTACCTGATAGCCACAGCAATCAACATCTTGTTTTCGTCGTCTACTGAACTCAGAGTTTTAAATCCGCGACACTGCTACGCAAACTGAACCATACAGACCTGCAAATAATGCCATTTTTCTTAAGAATGGCTTTCTCAAGAGACAATTTTTTTTAAATAAAAAGACATTTTCAATGTAGCTGCCCGTTTAAAAAAAATACGACCACTGTAAATGTTTTGACCGCTAAAAGGGTGAGATAACCGGAAAAAACTATCACCCAGTATATCGATTTGATTAAAACTTTAAGAAATAGAATGCCATAATAGTCCAAATAAATGTGCCAAATTTTAACGCGATCGGTTAAAGGGTTATGAATTTATTAATTAAATTAATTTTATTTTTGACAACTTTGAAGGCCTGTAACTCAAAAATCAAAAAGTTTTTATTTAACTTTTTTCAAACGTTGTCGGTGAAATTTGCGGACACCCTGTACATATATTCGGGAGTTTACTATAATACTATAGCATATTATAATTATTAAATATTTTGACCTTTGGATGTTACTGCAGTCGAATCAATATATTATGTAATATTTTCAGCAGAGTTCCGGGTACAGCTTTGAATTCAAACTCTCCTACAAATTCTTGAAATTGAGTGACGCTCGTATCCGGTATGGGAATGCCACTCAAAGATCGTACAGGTAAGTTTTAGAAATAAAATATAAGATTTCCTTCAGAAAATGATGTATTTCAGTTTTCTTTTTAGTTATTTTTAAAAAGGTTAGATATAAGAAAATGTGACTTGAAGTAACAAGAAAATACTTACAGAACTAAGTTATTGAATATAGGATGCAAGTACACTGTTATTTATATATTTATTTATTTATTTTCCCAACAGCCATAAATACTTAATTACAGGAAAATAATTACTACACTGAATTGTACAAAATGTGACTACCTAAAGCAAGCACACTAACAAAGGGTAATAAGCAAAATACATAGCAGCACTATATCAAAAAGGCAAACAACATCGACATAACGGTTTTTCAAAATTAAGACATGTAAAAGTGATGATTATGGTAAATTGTTTATAGAAAAAATTTGTTTAATTTCTTTTAAAAATACTCTTTGGGGTGAAAACAGGTCCATGGAGTTACATGATGAGACTTGATTAATTAATTTAAACATAACTGCAACAGGAGATATGGAGAAATTGGTTTTGACGTGTATCTGGAAGGAACATTAATAAGTATACGGGAGAGCATATTTGGTGCATTAATGAAACAATTTAAAATTTTGTAACCAAATAGCAGAATAGAAATAGTACGACGGTGATGAAGTGTATTAATATTAAATTCTCGGCAAAAATGATTAGTTCTTACAGTCGCATAGTCAGGCGGTCTATTATACTTCTTAAAATATAGATATCTCAATAATTTCTTTTGTATTTTTTCAATCTGCTCTGTATATTTTTTTGTTGGAACCCTGAGGAACCCCTGAATTTGCTATATAAACTTTTAAAAACATTCTGTGATATTTGACTTTAAATGTGCGGTTTTTTAAATAAGAAACAATTAATTTAATTATGCTGTCATTCACCCCATACATATCCAATTTTTTTAAAAGCACATGATCTACCCTGTCAAAGGTCTTTTGAAAATCAGTAAAAATCGCATCCACCTGACATCCGTTCTCAAATGCACTGAGTATATTATCGGTAAATATAGTCAAATTAGTAGATATTGATCTCTTAGGCACAAATCTATGTTGACAGTTTTTGACTAGTGTACTAAAATGACTCCATAAGTTACGGTATAATACGAGTATCTGTTCGAAAACTTTTGGAGGCGCCGATAAAACTGCGATAGGTCTATAATTATTTACATTACACATTAGATTTCTCTCTCGATTTATAAATTGGACTGACTAGTGAAATTTTCCTACAGTCAGGAAATTGATTAGTCTTCAAAATTAAGTTGTAAATATGCAGAAGGGGTTTCCTGGAATAATCAGAATAACCTTTTAAAACGTAGGGTGGTACCCCGTCCGCACCTACAGCCCGCTTAGGTTTCAATTTTTTAATTGCCGTATCAAAGCCAAGATTAGTTAGTTATACACTTCAATGTGCCATTTGATAATTTACGGGCGTTGTATCTTTTAAATTATAGGTGGCCGGTGTGACAGAGTAAATTGAATAAAAGTATTTGGCAAATGTTCGGAACTTCATTTTCTGGTATAATAACGTTATCATTGTCGCGAAAGGATACATACATATGAAGGGGATCGTCTATTTTTAATGTAACTAAAGAATACTTTACTGTTCAGTTGTATACCATATTCAATATTCGATAAATAAGTACGATAAGCAATTCAAGTCTTATCTTTTAATGTTCTTCTTATTTCATGATCCCTAGAATTAAGCTCTGCAGAAATGTTCCTTAACCTATGGAACTTAGTTGTCATCTTTATAAGATGTTTTATTTCATTTGTAAAATAAGGTGGTTTGTAAAATAAGATATTTTATCGGGTCAGACTATTTAATAATTATCTTAGGTACATAAAGTTCAAACACATTATTTAAAATATCATAGAAATTTTTGACAGCCACATTAACATCAGATTGTGTAAGAACTGGCAACCAATCCGCCCCCCTAAATGTATCCACCAAGTCTAAAAGATTACATTGTTTGAAATTATAATGCACCGTACTGCAAGTGTTATCATATACAATATTAGTCTAAGATTTACCGAGAACTATTTCCAGAACAGGGTGATTAGTATCTTCAGGTACTATAGGATCAGCTATTCTGTCTATTTTAATGTTATAATCATCACTACCAACCAATATTAAATCTAATAATGTATTCATATTGCATATATAATTAATATTCTTCAATGATAAAAAACTTATGAAATCAGAATAATATTGAAAATTATTGGTCCTATTTTCCTTATATACTTCGGGAAGATTGAAGTCACCAAATATGTAATTATTTGTATGACTAACATTGTTCTCTATAAAATCATATAAATTAGCATAATGCTCACTATTAGAATTTGGTGTTATATATGAAAGGTGTATTTTACATTATTGAGGAAAAAATCTAAAACTAAAACTTCATAATGACTCTGCTGCTTAGTTACTCTAATGACTTTTATACCAATTCCCTTTTTTACTGCAATGCACACGCCACCTCCCCTAGTTAAGGTTATTCACATGACATTTTCACTTTCGTACTTAAAAAATACGTATGGGCCAAAGACGCAGGAAATTTTATTGTACTGTACTTAGAAAAACAGTAGAATGTTGCAATATGGGTATTTATATCTGTGTTTTATTTAAATAGGCTTACATATTTCGATAAAACTATTAATGGTACAAGGTTTAATAGATTTATATCTATTAATGAGGAATATATGAACAGAAGAATTTACTAACAATGTGTTTCTAACAGATTGAGTTTGTCGTAAACACTTTTGGCCATATCTCTCTATTATTAGAGATATATCTATCAAACCTTATATCACCGTAATCCTAAAGAAAGCGCTCTATCCAAATGTGTAAGAATATACAGGGTCGATATTGTAACTTACCTACGAAATACGTAACTTACAGGATGTAGTGACTATGTAAGATTTTTTTTATTATGATAATAAAGTTTACATTTACAATTTTTTTTAGATAAGTTCTGAATTACCCTGTACTGTACTGTACTGTACTTTTTGAAGTTTGTTAGGTTATTTTTATATATAATTCAATTTAGAAATTTTTCTTTTAGCAACTACTCTGATTGTCAACAGAGTGAATCACTGATATTTAACTAGACTTTGATTTTGACTGGCCTCTGATTTTGGACTGGATTGTACTTTTTAACAAATCGTACTCTACATTTCCAAATTCTTTTTTTTTATTTAAAATGTTCGTAATTTTTTATATATCACCGTCAGTAAATTGTTTGTCTTTATTATTTTAGAATTACTGCCGAATACTAATACATATATTCTATATTGAAATAATGTAAATAAGCCAGTTCATCTTTTTAACATGGAAAGTTTTATTGTAACATGCTATGTGAGAAAATTTTTGAAAACTTCGATGTCTAACATTCAGTAATGGAATTTTAATCTAAATCTTTGTCAAAATCACAGTCTAATACTCTGTATTGTGGAATGAAGCTTGTTTTCACTTCTGGAGAAAGATATGCAAATAATATCTTTTTTATAAGAAGAAACTCTTGATGCCAGTAATGAATTTTTGTAACAAGCACCGAGAACAAATACCATGCCAATAATTTCTTCTCGTGTCAGTTATTTTGAAAATTTAATTAAACGTTAAACTTTTTGCGAGTTATATTATTAACTTTAAAAATACATAGTTGCAAAGCCAACGCTAATCAAAACTAAAGTGACATTTAATTTGAGTTATACATCAAACAGTGCAATAAATAATTGCAAAAGCCTACTTGACGATGTTGGTAACTACTTTTTTTTTTTTAATTTTTTGGATAAAACCGCATTTTTCTCGAAAACTGTTAAGAGATAAAAATAAGGCTAACCTTATATCAATCGAAAGGACAATTAATTTGGCATTCAGCAATAGCAATTAATTTGGGTCATTCAATTTGAAAAAAAAGGTATTCGTCTTCTAAAATTGTCAAATGTAGGTCTTAATATTTCCAGTCTTGAATAACTTCATTTTTTTTCCAAAAACGTAAACGATAGAGAAATTTGTGCTGAAACGAACTGTCTAAACCGCATGTTCCTAGCTCTTTTAATTTAGATGTTACTTAGATTTATTCAGAGAGCTGAAATCGTGATTTTTCCCAAAAACAGTCGAATATCTGGGAAACGGCGGGTTCTAGGTAATGTATGGTCAACAAAGTCAACTTAAAATTAAGCGGGGAATCCGGAAGAACTCTTATATACAGAGTATTCCATTTAAAATAACGACGTTATGTATCGTCTAGAAGAAGCGGAGCATCCTGTTTACCTATCTATTTTACAGGGATGCGCAATATAATTCCAGACAACTTTTATATACCTAAAACATTTTTTTTATTATTAAATTTGAACTAAGGTGAAACACCCGGTATAAGTAATTATTTTATATTCATCGCTAGCAGGTCAATTATTAATTTATATCTATATTCCAAATAAACTTTCTTTTTTTATTATTTTGAATGTGCATTTATTATTGTTACTCTCTTAAAGCCTGCATGCAGTTTTTTTTATTTAATTTTTGGGTATTAAATTCTATCATTTTGGTTTCGGTTTTGACATTTCTCATTTTATCTAAGAAAACATTATTTAAAGTGCAAAAAATTTGCTTTGTTAAAGAATGTAATGCGCTTACGTAAGTATACGCAATGTATCCTTGATTGAAGACAATATTTCTTTCTTTGTACTGAACCAGAATGCTATCACCTTACTAAAATTAATTTACATAATACTGCCAACAAGAAAACATGCTATAACGCTTTTGAAACCCATGTACGATGTGCTCCTTATTGTTTTGTATATTTTAAAATTCATCTTAATCCAGTTTTTTCCCAGAAAGCGAGTTTATGAATATCAAGCTTGCGTTTCCCTAATACCGTTATTAAAATGAAGCCTGTCGGTCTACACAAAGGCGTACGAAAAATTTAAGGAAGCCCGGAACTTTCTACTTTGTTGTTGTTTGTATCCTCCTTCTGTTTCCGCC